CGACTAGCCTCGGCCTCTGGCCCAACCATGCTCTGGGTCAATGGGCCCCTCAAATGAATGCGATATGACTCGTCATGCGTCCTCGGCGGCTGGCTGCGCGTCTGCCCGGCCGCGTGGAGGGCGCGGCTGTGTGTACGTGATACGAGAAACAACAACAGGACGGAATGGCCAATATAATCAAAAGTGGCAAGCCTGGAGAGGAAAGAGGGGAAGACAAGTTGGGTGGAGAGGGGCGGCAGAACCACTGGGCCTACGACCGCGACGAACTGCGAAAGCACGAAGCAGCGGCGGCCCGGCAAGTTCACACGGGCATTTATTATTTTCTCTTTTCCTATTGCCTAGAGAAATGTTTGCCTGAACTCGAGCCGGCGGCGAGGCCATCATAGCCCAACTGTAAAAATAAAAATAAAATCAATCAAACAATACAGTGACGATAGACTCTGTCGCGTCGCTGGGTGTGCCCTTCCCCTCCCCCTCCACTCTCCGCCACGCTGTGGCCCGCGCCGTCCGCGCCACGCTCTCCACCACCGGTTCACCTTTCCTCCCGTGGGCCTTTACGGGAATGGGCGTGAGAAACCGGGCGGCTGTAACAATGTGAAACAAAGCGCTCAGCCGGCCGTGGAGCCCGTGAAGCCTCCTCCCCCCACCCCTTCCTCCAACCAACACCGGAGGTGTGGGGGGAGTGGCGGGCATTTAGTTGGGGTTAGTGGCCCTTCCGGGTACGGGCCGGAGAGGAGGGGAGTAGTGGTGGCTCATGTAATCTACAGATCGGCAGCACGCCGCCGACAAACCGATGCTGACGACCTCCTGCAACACAAACGCGAAATGTATCCCAGTACGAACCATAGGGTAAAGAAGATGAAAATTTCGGCCCTTGAAATAACTTCAGAACCAGGGCATGCTTTCGGATCGAACCACCTTGTTCGCCGTCGTGGAGACTCGAGACTGTAAGAGTTCGTGTCGGACTATCACCCCCTTCTCCCAGCGCGGACCCCACTCCACTCGTCAACCTTCCCGTTTTACACTTCCGCACCCTTCGGACCCACCAGCCGACCGACCGACCAGCGGACCGACCGACCGACCGAGCGGCGGACCGACCCTTCCCCTGGATCAGACGCACACACGCGCGCGCCGCACACAGCCGTCTACCCACCGCCATCCTCTGCCCCTTACCCCCGAGCCCCACTCAGGGCCGGCCAAGGCGTGCGGCGTAGAAAGTTAACTACAGCGAGCGTGTCTGGTTTATGGCTGTGGTAAAATTTAACGGGGGTTGTGCTGTGAGTTCGGACAAGCTCACCCCCGGCAGGCCGGGCACAGGGGCTAGGGCGGCAGCAGGGACGGGCAGGGCGGGGCGGGGTGAGACCCGCGGCGGGGACGATCCCGACACCACGTGCACGCCACCTGCACGCCACGAGGCACGACACGCGTGCAGGCGCGCAAAGTGCGCAATTGAGGTGCGAGTGAGCGGAGCAAAGAGAGAGAGTAGGTGGCGGACAAGGAGGGAAAGCTCGACTATGGAGCCGGCAGTGTGTGCGGCCGGGAGCTTCCGAGCGGACCCTAGTAGTCGAGCCGGCCAAAAGGGACGCAACAAGCCAACCCAACTCGATTGCCGTCACCTGAACTCTCCGCGCCGCCACCGCCGCAGCCGCCGCGGCGGAGCAGCGCCACACCCTGATGTACCGGATCAGCCACCTGTAGCGGACCAGGCAAGGGAGGGAGGGAAGGACAGTGGGCAGGGCGTGGTGTGGTTCTGATTGTCTCGGGAATGA